TGTTTGAAAACCACAGCCTAGTCAGACCTTACCCAGCAACTAGACTGCAGGCCTGTCCCCACCCCTGTCGCTCTTTTGCTCCTAATGGATATTTTGGAACAGCTGTTGTATCATGGTTTGACATATCTTATTTGGAGAAGTTTGAACCAATCTATATAACGACAGGGTCTATAAATAGCCTTTTCACACCAAATGATAGTATGATATAAACTCTCGTATTCATTATAATTCAGTTTGTGACTTCTTCCACTTTGACCTTTTTTCCTAGTATGAAGATCATGTCTTTTTCTTTTATGAACACCTAGTAACTACCAGAGACCAGGTAACTAGATTAGCAACACTTACCTGCTGGTCTGGGTTGATGCTGGTTCTGGTGACTCAGCAGCCGATACATCCAAAGGATCTTTGAAACTGAAGACCTCACAAAGGAATCTATTCCTTCCCACCATTTACCATTCAAAGATTTTTCAAAACAGATGACTCCAGTTTTGAAGGCAATTCAGTGTTTAGCACAATGAAAAATGGATGTGCTTACTCTATATGCATATACATATTTACAAAATGAAATTTACATATTTGCATATTTACAAAAGGAAAAAAGGTATTTTTATACTAAAATTCCCTGGACTATATCTGTGCCAGTGTAGAAAATATTCCCCAAAGGAGCATTTAAAATACTACTTTTATGTTTTTAGTCTTACATAATTAATATTCATAATAGCATATGTGTATGTTTTATTTTATTTTCATGATCAGTTTTGTAAGGTGTGAAATGGTTCTTAGGCATGAAGTTCTTGTTTATAATAATAAACCTACAGAACAGAAGGGTTTTACTTACAAAGTCTTGACTTTCAACTGTCAGCCTAGAACCAAATTTGTGTGATTGATTCTGTTCTAAAAGAGATTATAGATAAGCTCTAAAGGAACTTCCCTGTGTCTCAGTTTTCCCCATCAATAAAAACAATAAGGAGACTGGGTTAAATGAATTCCAATATTCCTTCCAACCCTCAACGCTCAACTTATTTCCCAGATCAGTCCTCTGTGTTCAGAGGTTTCTTGCTCTTTATGTTTCAGTTCTCATTCTCTTTCTTTGTATTTGCTTCCACTACAGCTCACTTCTGCTACTTTTTTTTTTTTTTAATTTGAGACTCAGTCTTGCTCTATTGCCCAGGCTGGAGTGCACTACCTTGGCCCACTGCAATCTCCATCTCCTGGTTTCAAGCCAATTCTCCTGCCTCAGCCTCCCGAGTAGCTGGAACTGTGGGCGCCCTCCACCATGCCTGGTTAATTTTTGTATTTTTAGTAGAGATGGAGTTTCATCATATTGGCCAGGCTGGTCTTGAACTTCTGACCTCAAATGATCTGCCTGCCTCAGCCTTCCAAAGTGCTGGGATTATAGGCGTGAGCCACCTTGCCTGGCCTTCTGCTGTATTTCATAAGTGCTCTCCTGAATGCACCAGCTTTCTTCCTCACATTCCTTCCTGTTGTGATAACTAAAAATAGAAAAACTGGTGAAATTTTAAAGTGTTTTTTTTTCTCTGAAATGAATGATATCTCTTCTCCGTAGTGATATCATTGCTCTCATCCTGTTGAAATAACCACACCATGCCTAGTCAAATTCTATCATGATGTGCTAAGAACATACACATTATAGATTACTGACATCATTAACACTGTCCCTGTCACAAATACAAGTCACAACTTGATTTCAAGATTTGTCATAAAGCTATTGTAATTAAGATAATATGGTACTGGCATAGAGACAGACAAGAAGATCAATAGAACAGAATAGACCTAACAGAAATATATTCGTACATAAATGAACAACTGATCTTTGACAAGGTACAGAAGAAATTCAGCAGAGAAAGGACAGGTTTTCAACAAGTGGCCCTGGAACACTTGAATATTTGTAAGCAAAAATATGAACCTCATTTCATACCTCATATCATATACAAAAGTTAAAATGGATCACAGACCCAAATGTTAAACCTCAAATATTAAATTTCCAGAAGAAAATAGGACAAAATCTTTGTTTCCTTAGATTGGGCAATAATTTCCTAGATATAACACTGAAAACTCAATCCTTCAAAGAAAAAAAAATTGATAAACAGAACTTTATGAAAATTAATAACATCTGCTTTTTGAAAGTTACTGTCAAGAAAATCATCCTACTGGCTCATGCCCGTAATCACAGCACTTCAGTAGGAGGATTGCTTGAACACAGGAGTTCAAGACTGACCTGGGCAACACAGCAAGACTCTGTCTCTAAAAAAATAAACAAAAATTATCCCATGAACTGGGAAGAAATATTTGCAAATCATATCTCTGAAAAAGGATTTTTATCCAGAAAATATATAGTAGTCTCAAAATCTAGTAATTAAAGCAATTAATTCACTGCAAAATTCAGCAACATGCTGGGTATGGTGGCTCACGCCTATAATCCCAGCACTTTGGGAGGCCAAGGAGGCCTTGAGGTCAGGAGTTCAAGACCAGCCTGGTCAACATGGTGGAACCCCGTCTCTACTAAAAACTATAGAAATTATCTGGGCATGGTGGCTTGCAACTGTAATCTCAGCTACTTGGGAGGCTGAGACACGAGAATCACTTGAACCTGGGAAGTGGAGGTTGCAGTGAACTGAGATCGGGCCACTGCACTCCAGCCTGGGTGACAAGTGAGACTCTGTCTCGAAAGAAAAAAAAAATTGGGCAACAGATTTGAACAGTAACTATAGCAAGGAAAATATACAATTGACAAGCACATGTAAAGCAACAGCATAATTAGTCATTAGGGAAGTGAATATTAAAACCACAATTAAATAATACACCTATTAGAATGTCTAAAATTTCAAAGACTGACTATACCAAATGTTGGCTAGGACGTGGAGCATCTGAAACTCTCCTGCATGGATGATGGAAATGTAAAATGGTGCAACCACTTAGAAAAACCGGAAAAATTTGAAAAGTGCATGTGTGTGCTAGCTCCTTCCTTTCACTTCTTACTCCTAAGGACAAGATGGGTCCCCAGCAGCTATACTAGAGCCATCTGTGAAATTGGCCAGGGTTCTTGCTCAAAACAGCATGATGTCATCCGGAAGTACAACCTCAATATGTGCCCCAGTGTTTCCATCAGTACACAAAGGATACAGGTTTCATTAAGTTGGACTAAGTGAACTTCCTTGAATGGATTATCCAGGCCTTGAACTTCTGACCTCAAGGCCTCCTTGGCCTCCCAAAGTGCTGGGATTATAGGCATGAACCACCACACCCAGGCTGTTGCTGAATTTTGTGGTGAATTAATTGCTTTCTTTAATTACTAGGTTTTGAATGGATTATCCAGGTCATCCACCCCATGAAAGAAACCATGAAAAATTTTTAAATCTCTTTAAAAAAATTAGAAAACAGTGTGGTTTCTTAAAAAGTTAGACATACACTTACGATGTTACTAAGTCATTCTGCATTTCAGTATTTTCTGCTCCTTCCCCAGGCTATAGTGGAATGGCCAATTTCAGCTCACCTGGAAAAAAAAATCATTTCCACTAAGAAAACTGAGGCATGCAGAGGTTAGCTGCCCAAGACCATACAGCTAATAAGACGGGAGGAGTCAGGAATTTGGGGTTTGGATTTCAGTAATTGACTCCAGTGCCTGCCTTCTTAACTGCATGCTTTAAGGGGACAGAGTAAAGTGTTAAGAGGGGAAAGCATGAGCACTGACAGGAGATAAAGTAGAAAACAGTGGGATTCTATCTCCCTTGCCTGGAAAGAGTTCTGTTGGCCCAGTGGCTAGGTTGCCTGTATCTGTACAAACGTTTCTTGTTTGCTGCCCTTGGCTTATCATGTCCTTTTTTTCTCCAGCTCCCCTAAGACATCTAACCTTCTGCGCTGAATTGACATCATTACCGTTTCAATCAGTGGACTTGGTAAATACACACACACACACACACACACACACACACACACACACACACACACAAAGTGGGGCCAGGTGTGGTGGCTCACGCCTGTAATCCCAGTACTTGAGGGAGCCAAGGAGGGTCGATCACTTAAGGCCAGAAGTTCGAGACCAGCCTGGCAAACATGGTGAAACCGTCTCTACTAAAAATACAAAAATTAGCCAGGCGTGCTTGTGCATGACTGTAGTTCCAGCCACTCGGGAGGCTGAGGCAAGAGAATCTCTTGAACTCGGGAGGCGGAGGTTGCAGATCGTGCCACTGCACTCCAGACTCTGTCTTAATTTAAAAAGAGAAAGAAATCACACAAGTGGGATGGTCTTCTCACTGTAATCCCCTTCTACCTGTTGGACTGGCTGGTAAAAGGGAAACAGGGCGAAATGGGAGTTTTTTCCCCAGAAGCTCTTAAGAATGAATGAATGTTTGGCCCAGCGCTGTGGCTCTCGCTTGTATTCCCCGCACTTTGGGAGGCGGAGGTGGGAGGATTGCTTGAGCCCAGGAAATTGCATTGAGCTGTGATCGCGTCACTGCCCTCCAGCCTAAGAGAAAGAGACCCTGTCTCTAAAAAGAAAAGGAAAAGAAAAGAAAAGAAAGAAAGAAAAAAAGAAGAGACAAGAAAAGAAAAAGAATGAATGTTTGGTGAGAAGATCCCGCTCCCTGCCTGCGCATCGACAAACTGCCTTACAAAAGGCCAAGCAAGGCAGAGCCACGTCAAGTTCAGGTGCGTTCCCTGCGTCCCTACTAGATGCACTCGCAGGGAACACATCGCCAGGGCGCAAGGCGTCTGGGCGCCTCTCTAGGAAGAGGCCCTCCCACGCAGCTAGCGAGGAAGGAGGGTGCACTTTCCACGGGAACCGGAACGACAGCGCCGCCTGGAAAGCTGGGCTCGCGGGTCCCGGATCCCCAGTGCCGGGCCGTGGGTTCTGGCCCCCGAGTGGCGCGCTCCCAAAGAGCGGGTTGGGCGGTGGCCGGGGCGGTGTCAAGGGCAGGGGCGGGGCGGGCAGGCAGTGGCCGGGGGCGTCCGCTCCTCCCCCTCGCGGTCGGCCGGGCTGTCGGTGCCTAGCCCCCAGTGCGCGACACATGGGGCGCCTGACTGAGGCGGCGGAAGCGGGCAGCGGCGCTCAGGCTGCGCGCTGGGCAGGGCCCCCTCCCACGCTCCTGCCGCTCTCTCCCACGTCCCCCGGGTGCGCGGCCACCATGGCGTCCAGCGACGAGGACGGCACCAACGGCGGCGCCTCGGAGGCCGGCGAGGACCGGGAGGCCCCCGGCAAGCGGAGGCGCCTCGGCTTGTTGGCCACCACCTGGCTCACCTTCTACAACATCACCATGACTGCGGGGTACGCGCGCCGCGGGGCGCCCTCGGGCTCTCCCCGCGCCGCGGTCTGCGGAGGTTCCAGGCTCGGGGGCAGCGGGCCGGGGTGGCGGGGGCGCGGGCGGCGGCCGTGGGGGAGGGGAGCTGTCACCACGGCTACCGCCGGGGTTGAATGGAGCGGGCGGGGTGGCCGGGCCCTGCGCGCCGGGCATTTCCTAATACGGTGCACTGCGGGGCGCGGGCCGGAGGTTAAGTATAGACCCAGGCAGGAATGTGGGGCCGGACCGCGAGGGAGGGGCCTGCGGCCGGGTCGCCGCTGCCTCGGCTGCTGTTGAAGGAGCGCCCGGCCCGGCCACCCGGTGGTCTGGAGAGCGCGGAGTCTCCTGCTGCGATCGCTGGGCAGAGTTTTCTCCCCTGTTAATTTCACGGCGACTTGTTACTATTATTTTTTTAAAGCATAGCACGTCCTAGAGCTTGTCACTTGGGACGATTTTGAAATAACCACCCCCATTATCCTAGCCTGGAGCTCCTGCCCAGCATCTTTATGGCCTCAGGCTCCGTGGCTGATACCCTGGACTTTGATTTCTGGCTTTGAAATGTGACTTTGCAAGTTAAGGTTACACAATGACTGTCGCTTTTCGCAGAGCTGTCAAAGTGAGTTCTCTGTCAGCTGCTTCTCAAAACCTGTTGGGGAAGCTGCTTTTCCATTTAAATTGCACTGCCTTTTAAAAAAGTTATTTTCCCATTATCATTCGAAGTATTAACCTATCTAAATGCGAGGAAAAGTTTAATATTTTATTTTTTAGACGGAGTCTCTGTTGCCCAGGCTGGAGTACAGTGGCGTGATCGCTGCCTGCAACCTCCGCCTCCCGAGTTCAAGCGATTCGCCTGCCTCGGCCTCCGGAGTAGCTGAGACTACAGGCATCTGCCACCATACCCTGCTAATTTTTGTATTTTTGGTAGAGACAGGGTATCACCATGTTGGCCAGGCTGGTCTCAAACTCCTGACCTCAAGCAGTCTTCCCACTTTGGCCTCTTAAAGTGCTGGAATTACCACACCCGGCCTGGGTGTTTAAAATATTTTAAACTTTCTTCAGGGTTTATAGAAAAATATGATTGACAAAGATTTAATAAATCTTTAACTAGGGGGATTGAGTTTCTATTATATGCTCAGCCTATGATACTGGGTACCAAATACAGTTCATACAAATATTATTTACTGAGGATTTACTATGCAGGGGACTGTGTTGGTTATTTTAGGTGTATTTTTAGTCCTTTATAGTCCTGTGAGGGGCACATGATACGACATTACATAGATAGGAAAGTGAGGCACGGACACTTGCCCAAGATCACAGCCAGCAAGTGTCAGACATGGGTTTCAACCCAGACTCTGACTCTACTGTCCTGCTACTTAATCTTTCTTTTTTCCTAAATTATAATCTTGGAAAGAGAGAAAACTAATGTATTTACAACTGGAGAACAATTCAGTAATCACCAAATGATGCTGAATTTAAATGTGTTCGGAGCTGAAAGAATTCACTCTCCTCTGTGATAGACTACTTAATAAACTTTTCCTGGTCGGGTGCTGTGGCTTACGCCTGTAATCCCACCCAGCACGTTGGGAGCCCAAGGTGGGTGGATCACCTGAGGTCAGGAATTCAAGACCAGCCTGACCAACATGGTGAAACCCCATCTCTCCTAAAAAATACAAAATTAGCTGGGTGTGGTGGTGGGCACCTGTAATCCCAGCTACTCCGGAGGCTGAGGCAAGAGAATCACTTGAACCTGGGAGGCAGAGGTTGCAGTGAGCCAAGATCATGGCATTACACTCCAGCCTGGGCAACAAGAGTGAAACTCTGTCTATAATAAATAAACAGGATAAACCTTTCCTCTCCTTTCCTTTTTTTTTTTTTTTTTAAGGCAAGGTCTTGCTCTGTTTCCCAGGCTGGAGTGCAGTGGTGCTTACTGGAGCCCCAAACTCTGGGCTCAAGGTGATCCTCTCGCCTCAGCCTCCTGAGTATCTGGGACTACAGGCACAAACCACCATGTCCAGCTAACTAAAAAAAATTTTTTTGTAGAATAGGCTGGGCACAGTGGCTCATGCCTGTAATCCCAGCACTCTGGGAGGCTGAGGTGGGTGGATTGCTTGAGGTCAGGAGTTTGAGACCAGCCTGGCCAACGTGGCAAAATTGTGTCTTTATTAAAAGTACAAAAATTAGCTGGGCATGGTGGCACAGGCCTGTAATCTCAGCTACTTGGAAGGCAGGCAGGAGACTTGCTTGAACCCAGAAGGCTAAGAGAGGTGCCACTACACTCCAGTCTGGATAACAGAGCAAGACTCTGTCTCACTCCCAAAAAATAAAATAATAATTTTTGTAAAGACAGGGTTTTGCCATATTGCCCAGGCTGTTCTCAAGTGATCCTCCCACGTTGGCTTCCGAAAGTGCTGGGATTACAGGTGTGAGCCACCGTGCCCAGCCAGTAAACATTTTGAAATATCTTTGTTGCGTTAAACGGGTATCTGCCCCTTCTCTTTTCAGTTGACTCTGTCTTGAAAGCCAACTTAGATTTCAGAAATTGGACGTCAATGCATAGCTCCAGTTTAAAGACTCTGGCGACCCCCTGCCGCCTCTGCCCAGTCTAGGATTCAGGCTGTCTGCCCGTCAAGGCTTTTTGCAGTCTGCTCCTGATTTCCCCTTCCCAGTCATTTGCATTTGGTATCTGACTCACTCTTCTCTTAAAGCACCATGGATTTTCACAGCACTCTGCCTCTGTGCTCAGGCTTTTCACTTTTTTTTTTTTTTTTTTTTTATAATGTTCTCCTATTATTCCCATGACTTCTAATCAAATCGACCTCTTTGAAGTTCTCCAGGTCTCCTGCCTTACCTGGAGCAGAATTAAATGCTCTCTCCATTCTTGTCCCTCTGACCCTTCCCCAGCAAATCAGGGCTTATTCTAAACATGTCTCTCTCTGCCTCTATTGAGAAGTTTCCCTGTTGTTTTTATGGGTCAAGGGACACTGAAATGAAATAATCTCTGTAACTACCACTTCGCAGGCTTTCTAGAAGTGTTGAGATTTGAAGACAGAATAAGATTTGCATACATAGTAGACATTTCAGGTGATATAAATTCTAGACGTGATATGCAAGCCTGGTGTATTCTCTTGATTGAACTAGAGGATGCTGTTGGAGAACAGTGGTAAATAAGATTAGAGAAGCCGTAGTGTTGAAACTGGGACAAGAATCTGTTTCATGGGGTGGATAGCAGAGGTCTAGTTGAGGTTCTCTTTGTTCATTTACTTATTTCTCTTTTAGCACAACTTTGGAGTGTTTATTAATTTTTTTTGTAATAATTTTCAAAACAAGCTGGGGACAGTGGTATGTGCCTGTAATCCCAGCTACTCAGGAGACTGAGGCAGGAGGATTGCTTGAGCCCAATAGTTTAAGACTGGCCTGGGTAGCGAGACCCTATCTCAAAACCAAAACAGACACACTCCACATTGTAAAGCAAGAGAATAGTATTTAAGAAATATTATAAAATTTTACATAAATGTAAAAAACAGATAAGCCCATCATAAACCTTCATTTTCTTTTTATCTTTCTTATGAATATCTCACATCTTCCAAGTTTTTACTCAAAACTTCATTCTCAAGGAGGCCTTACCTGGCCATCTTAATTTGAATAGTGGAATACATACTCCTTATCTCCCTTGCCTGTTTATTTTTCTGCGTCCCACTTTCTTTCATATGACTGTACAATACATTTTACTTACTCATAATGCTTATTGTCTGTCATCCCCATTCGAGTGTAAACTCCATGCAGTACTCAATAAACATTTCAATGAATGAACAAATGTATTACAGCATTGTTACAATATCTGCTCTATTGTATATTTTTCCATTTTCACTTAATAGTCTGTCAGGTTTTCATAATTACACTTTTTGATGGTTGCATAAGAATGTGTAGAATTAATATATAATAATGGATTAAATCATGCCTTTAATAACATTTTGCTTTTATTTGTTTCTATTCAATTAGTGGCTTAGTGTAATACATTCCCAGAAGTAGAATTATACCTTTAAAGGATGGAAG